CAACACCAGAGTTACCTAAACTATACGAAAGATTTGAACTCTCTAAACGCAATCCGGTTTTACGAAAATCTGCCACATTAAGTCGAAAACATCTAATCATAAACGTATGATGGATTCTTCAACAGTATACGAAGCACACCTAGTCATTTATGTAAAACCGGCAGTACGAAGAAACAAGAAACATAAATTCCGATGTTGAAATCCCTTCCTGATATTCTTGTTGGTATTTCGTCAAAGACCGATTCATACGAAAATAAGTCAAAAGACGAAGAACGAAGAATATGCAGTCTCAAATCATCGATGAAACTAAGGTATGTCTGATTCAAAACTTTTATTTGGCAAGGAATGAAAACGTCTTGTAAACTGCCATAAAACCTAGGGAACTTAGAATTTAGGGGGATAGTCTAGCATGCTAAGTCCTAAGCAATTTTTGTCACTCGACTTCATTCATTTTAATAAATTAATTTAGTCATATATTTATATGTTTAAATTGAAAAATTAGCTAAAGACTTCATTCATTTTAGTAAATTAATTTAGTCATTTTATAACCTACGTTTAAAATTAATAGTTATGTTACAATAGCCAAATTAAAAGAGTTAAAAAATTATTCTGTATACCTAATGTGGTATATAGGAATCTTTAAAATATTATATTATATAAATATAATTATATTTACACATAAATTCTAGTATATAAAACTATTTATGTATATTGGTAATATTGTTTTATAATACATATAATTATTGCATTATATGAAAATTACTCACCAAGTACTCCTCATTTTTCTGTTTCTTTAATATTTATTAATAAACTGTGACGTAAAATAATTTGTATAAACTAAAATGTGATGTAACAATGTTCAACAAAAATTAACAATATTTTATACTATATAACATCAAATATTTAAAAATAAAAAAATAAGTTATGTACAAGTAAATAAATTGTTATTGATAAAGATGGCTAAGCATAATTCAGCAGGAATTAAACATAACCATCAAATGTTCGGGAAAAAACATAACTCCAGCTCACTAAAATTTTTATCAAATAAATTTAATAAAAAACAATAAATTTTTTTAGTTGATTTTGTAAATGAAACAAAATAAAAAATATAATCCACAAAACGCATATTACATTCTAGTTAGTGTATAAATTAGAAAGAGAAAATATTTAGTATGTAAACATAAAATACATAGAGTTTTTAGATTTTTTTTTATATGCGTGAAATTTTTTTAAGTGATAGTTTTTTATAAAACAGACGAAAACAAATGTGATAGAGAAACATAAAACAAAATGGTTGACTTGTTCTTTCTCAAAAAAAATTGGTTGACTTGGGATTTATTCCACCAGATTCTAGACCAATGTGGTTGTGAAGGGTAGGTCCAAGAATCCTAAAAGATGGCGCCACGTTAGATCAAATGTACTTAGCCTTGAATATATCCAGATTCAACTTTGGTACTGGACAATATTCTCTTACCTAGTTTCTTCAAATGTAGTACAATAGATTTATATACTCGTCTCTTCGATTTTTAACATGACCCCTTGGCCTTTTGATTGGATTATTTATTTGGACAGCACCCTATACTGATATAAATACACTTTCATCTATTGGTTGTTCACAAAAAAAGACCTTTCATATATTTTTGTTTTATGCAATTGGTTCAACTTGATAGTTTAACAGGTGATATTAGTTGATGTGAAAAAAACATAGCAATACATATGTTGGTTATGTGCATTTGGTCTGGATGTAACTCATATGCCTTATTCCAATGTTCAGCAGTTCAAAACAGTATAGAAATCTATTATGTTTATGCCGGGCTTAGTGATTGAAATCCATTAGTGTAAATTTAGAAAAATACTATATAAACTTCCTAAATCTAATGGTTTGTTTCCTAACACTCATTTTACATATCAGAGATTAGAGAAAGGCATGAAACAAGAGCAAAGAAGAGATTGGAGGAGTATCTACACAAGGTTAAGGAGAAGCAAAGAGAAATTCGGCTAAAAGTCTAAGACTATTTTTTTTTTGGATTGTGGGTTTCACCTCCCACATACACTTGTTCAGTAAGTTTAAGTCTTTAACTTATTGTTGTGTTGTCTCTAGATGAATAGAGAAACACATAAGTTGTTGTCCAAGAAAACTTTTGTATTCATTTTATACTAGTTAATCGTTGAGAGTGTCATCTTCTCTCTAGATGTACTGTAAGGAAGCTGGGTTAAAAAAATTTTGTGTGTTAAACAACGACAACAAAAAAATATGCTAATGTTAATTAGTCAAATGAGATAAACCAATTAATTGGTTAAAGAATTCTCAACTATATAGTCATATGTGATAAAAATATTTCATATATTAGTAAAAATTGAGTTTGATATGCTTTATTTTATGAATGACAGCAATTAGATAAAGATGATCTCTTAGAGGTTCGTAATACTTTTGACTATTACTGAAATTTATTATTTACATCGAACATCATTATAATTTTTTTTTTGGCCATTTGATAATACTTCGAGCAACATATATATTTCCACTAACGTTCAAGAAAAGGAAGTTATAGAGAGTTCGTTGGTTCATAATTTGACTTTTGCAACTCCAAAATGGATGTTAACATTGGTTAATGGATCATATATATATATATAGTCATATATATATATATATAGTCATATATATATATAGTCATATATATATATAGTCACTTGTTACTACTGAATTAGTTTTTGTGATTAAAGATCAAACCATTATTAATTAAGCGTGAACAATCTTAATTCTAGCACTTGTTTATCTTTTTTCTTGCAATTGGAAACACATTATATTTGGATGCACTTTATATGTTACCAAAAGTGTTTGTAGACACTTCTACCCCTAATAAACTAAGATTTCTAATGGATTTTTGATTTAATTAACTAAATGAATATAACATATTTTATAGTTTGCATGATGATGAGATGCAATTTTGTTTTTTGTTTTGTTTCATACATTTTATGACTTCTTTACAGTTTGGATCATATTATGACTTTTTCTATCATAAAAGACCACTTTATGCTATTTGGACACTTTATGGGTGGTTAAATACCAAATTATCTCTGAAAAAGCAAACTAGAATTGGTTTAGTTAGGTATTTTTTTTGGATTTTGAGTCTTTCTCATGTTCTAATTTCTATAGAAATTTAGAAAATAATAAAAAAGAAATATTGTCTTGCTTGTCTTTCTCTCCGATGAAACTTTAACATGTAGCTTTTACAAGACTTCTTAGTATTTCTACAATACCTGATGGGCCAGATCATCCATATTTCAATCTATACAAATCCAATCATGAGGGCTCTCGATCAAAGAGACTTGTCCTCTCAAGGAGAGTCTTTTACAATCTCAGAGTAATAGGAACCAAGCCCGAAAGCCAATCCAACCTGAAGATGCATTTGATCTATTCAAATTGACCAAGTCAACATCCATTAAGGAAAGTATCCAACATCTTCAGTTCGGTTTGACCAAACCTTTTTGTGGAAGCCATGAAGTACTCTAGACCAACCATAATCCAAGGGATCAGGCGTCCAAGACGTCCTTAGCTGCACCAACACTCGTGGGATCAGGCAGATCCTCCTTTCCAATTACTTTCCTTATCTAGCAGTACTTCAACAAAGGAATTTCTCTAAACTAATAGCCTAGACCAACAGCCATATTTTTCAGGAACCGAAGGAGAACATTAAGGTGGTTTCTTGATCGTGGTTACATACAGAAGCTTTCTAGATACAAAGGATTCACAAGTTTCCTTTTGGTTCGAGAGCAAATCGAAGCCTAATGGCTATATTCCTAGGAGCCATGGAAGCCATTGCATTCAAGACTTCTATTTTGTGTTTATTTGTTCCGTTAGTCAATTTTAGATTGTTAGAAAGTGTCATGGTCGAGTCTGTATAAGCTCAAGTCATTGCACTTTGTAAATCATCCAACTTTTGAAATTATCAATGAAGTATTCAATTTGTCTAGTTTTGTCAAAATTATTGTTTTGTCTTTAGAGTGTTGTGAGAAGCAGCTCTTGATCATCCAGAGTTATCAAAACCTTCTCTATGGAGTTTTGTGGCTTCTATCACTTCATCTCGTCCATCCCATCCACTGGGAAAGCTTGACAGAGTAACACAACCAGCAAGAAAAGCACCATGTCAGTTCACTTCAATCATCAACTGATTAGACTAAGAGTGTCACACGACCAGCAGCCTGATTCCATCATACCTCTGTTTATTTTTCTTGTTTTGTTCTCATTATCAACATTTCATTCGTTTCGTATTTGTTTCAGGTTAAGAAGCCAATTTTCAATCATATCGCCCATTAGATCATATATCTTTGGTTGTTTCGTTTTGAGTTTCTTCAAACATCTTGTCAAGTTAGCTTATGTGTCCACAATAGATACCAGCTATTGCTATAGCGTATAGATATAGGGCTTGTGTGTTTCACCATCCAAATGAATCATCTAATTGAAGAGGAGAGTTTTGTTTGTTTAGGCACTAAAAGTACAACTCATCAGAGTGATTTTGAAATCCCCCTATACATTAAAAGAGAAGTCACTTTGACACGTGGCACTCATAGAGGCATTCTCAGATTAATTCTTTTAATCTGATTGGTTGATTTATTTTAATTTTCTTTTTATTTATTTTTTGTTTGGCGTGCAAGTGTTAGGATTTATATATGAGAATCTCTAAAATTTAATGTATAGGTTATTTACTTTCCTTACCTTATATTCGATGACTTGCGTGAGAAGTTGGAAATTCAATGCCAAATATGTCAATCTCATACCATTAGGAAAGCTTGACAATATATATACGATGTCCTAATGTTTGTGGACCGAACGCAAGTTATAAAACAGCTATGGCTACCAAAAACCCTTCTCCGTTCCATTGCTCTCTCACATATATATTCGGATACTGCAGCTCTTACACAAACCATTGATAACCCAAAGGCATTTTTTATGTTATTGTTTGAAAGATTTACACATTTGTTTGCATGTTTCAAGAACAATGTGCTTTACACATTCTATGCAGATAGGGTTCCTTCAAATCCTCAAGGCGCTGAGAGATTGCCACCAGGTATTATTGCATCTGAATCAGACTTGTACTTGCGCAGATTGTGGGGAAACCCTGAAGAGGTTTGTTTCTATTAACACAATCTCATTCTTGCATTTTTCATGTGCTATAGCTTCAGTTTTATTTTTCTCTGTTTCTTCAGGATTTGAAGAAGAAACCGAAATATCTGGTAACATTTACAGTGGGCTATAACCAAAGACACAATATAGATGCATGCATTAAGAAGGTTGCTTAATGCCCTCTATAATTTTATGTTCTTGTGCTTAATCGTAAACTGTGCTTAATAGTAAACTCATTGTGTTGTGTTTTCCTAAAAACAGTTTTCAGATAGTTTCACCATTGTTCTGTTTCATTATGATGAGAAAGTAAGTGAGTGGGATGATGAGTTTGAGTGGTCAAAGAATGTAATACACATAAGTGTCCTCAAGCAAACGAAATGGTATAGCTTTTGCTCAATTATACCTCTTTTTCCTTTTCTCAAAACATATGAGTTTCTTGACTCTCCTATATATTATGAATTTAAGGTGGTATGCAAAGAGATTCTTGCACCCGGACATTATAGCGAAATACGATTATATCTTCATATGGGATGAAGATCTTGGAGTTGAACATTTTGACGCAGAAGAGTGAGTTTCTTTTACACTCACTTACATTTTCTTGATCATTTTTCTAAGTTTATTGTTGCAGATATGTAAACATGGTCAAGAAGCATGGCCTTGAGATTTCACAGCCTGGTTTGGATCCAGAGAAAGGGACTACATGGCAGATCACTAAAAAAAGAGAACATGTTGAAGTCCATAAGTATGTATGACCTCTCTTACATGATTTTTGTTACATTAATTTTTTACATATATGGCTTTGAAACTTACCAGGGAAACAGATGAAAAACTTGAATGGTGCTCTAATCCTCCTCGGCCTCCATGTGCAGCGTATGTTGAAAATATTTCTCTATCAAACTCAATGTACACGCATCTCCTCATTTATATAAATTTGGTTCTTTGATAACATAACAGATTTGTAGAGATTATGGCTCCTGTATTCTCAAGAGATGCAAGGCGCTGCGTGTGGTATATGATCCAGGTTACAAGTACTTTACTATCTCTTGTCTTCATTGTCGTGTTCTATTTTTAAAGATACAATTTCTTCTCTTACACCTTATTATGAAACAATAACAGATTGATTTGGTTCACGGTTGGGGTCTTGACTTTGCACTCAGAAGATGTGTTGAGGTATACAAAACATTACCAAACTCTTACCGTTAATTTCTTGTTTACAATCGATTAACTAACAGGCTTTCATGTTTATATCTGAAAATGAAGGAGCCTGCTTATGAGAAGATAGGAATTGTAGACTCTCAGTGGATCGTTCATCAGTTTATCCCTTCACTTGGTAGCCAGGGAAAGGAAGAAAATGGGAAATCCCCAATAGAAGGGGTAAGAAAGCTTGTATGAATAAGATCGGTCTTGTTTTTAGAGAGTTTTGTCGTGTTATGTACTCTAGAACAATAACTTGACATGCAAGCAACTAGATGTGTCCCAATATATGTCTTTGATGTGGTTGTTGTTTATGCAGGTGAGAGATAGATGCCATATGGAATGGAAAATGTTCGAGAGCAGATTAGATAACGCAGAGAAGGAATATTTCAAATCGTTACAAATTCAAAGCCATTCCAGTTCAACCACCTTTCAATAGGATCTTAACATTTTTGCTGTAGTCAGGACTCAGGAGTGCTTCTTCCCAATATTTACATACAGATCTTTATAGGTAATCTATAGCTACCTCTTCAATCAGATACTATCGGATGATGGTATAAAGAGACTTGTCAATAAACTCTACATGATCTATTAAATCACTTTTGCCAAAAAAGAAATAAAAAAGATTTTTGAGGAGTTGAAATAGAACAGGTGTGTGGACTTGTAAAGATATACTATATAGCCCATGTTTTGTGTGTCAACGCGTCCTGGCATAGCCTGCTTACGTAGAACGAGAAATAGTGAGAGTTGAGTCTTCACGTGTGTGAGTTGACCTCGGGAGACCAAGAAAGCTCCACAAGGCACCATCTTGTTGGCTGTTCACAAGAGGTGTCAGAGAAACAACAGACCCCACCCCCAGAATACAATCATCGAGAGGGGATGAGTCTCTAACGACATGTGACACATGTTTAGACCACCGCTGGTTTTAAAAATCCCTAATCGCCCAATTAATGGTCATTATAATTGTGATGATTTTTATACAAATCGAATTGCAACCATTTGTGACTTTTTAGAAATTGTCACACATTGGTCACAAGTAAAAACCTTGTGACTAAAAAGTAATATATTGTGACAAAAATTGTGATCATAATATCCATACTTTCTTGAAGTGTTGTTTCCCTCCTTCTGAAGTTCTCAAAACTTTTGAACTTTCAGAAACTGCAGTCTTTGTGAATATGATACAACAAAATGATGTTATGAAAATAATGGCTATTTCACAATTTCCGATAGCGTCAGAAGGAGTACTACCACTCTGGTGATGGACATTATTGTTTCAGTCATTCTGTTTAAGAACATGGTGATGTCTGTTGTCCAAATCGTTGGATACGATCCTGAAGGTTCCATCACTTCCATGGAGATAAAGAAAGACGAGCGTGAAGTGGATTACGTCATGAGAAGAAGAATCTCGTTAATGCAGTTTAAGTCTCTCTGTGAATATGCAGATACCCTATTATAGCGATTTCACCATGATGCAGATAAATTTTTTTATCTTTCTATATGATTTGATTAATCGTAGATCTATTTGAATTCTAATTCTTACTTTTTTAAATATGTTCATAGGTATTATTTTTCTATTTAATGATTGTTTGTTAGAGCTTAGAAGGAGAAGAATGCTTTCTAATGTATTTTTCTATTGGTTTTTTAATTTACAATTTTAGTTTATATGCGCAGACCAACGATTATGATGTTTCCTCCTGTGGATCCATATGTACTTAAATCTCTCTTCACATTCATGTTATTCAGAGACATGAACATTACAAATGATCATTCATCCAAAACACGTAAACTACAATGTAAGTTTCATGCTTTGTTACTTTTTCTATGTTTTTCAAATAATTATTTGCTTATACACTAAAGAAAAAAAATCTTTAATCAATATTTTATTATAAAACTTAGTATAAATTTTTATACATTTTATCAACTTTGTACTCAAATATGATTTATACAATTTATCATATTATAAAATGTATATCCTATAAATTCATATATGTAAACTATATAGTTCTTTTTGTCATCATAAACTATATAGTTCTATGTCAACTATAATATAACTTTATACAATTTATCACATAATAAGTTATGTATATAATTCAGAGTTAGAATATGATATGTGTAACATTTTGGTATATATTTCTAATACTAATGTTAGAATTAAATCGGTTATATACAAATTTAATATTAAATATAAGTGATAAAACATAATTATTATATATTTCTATAGATTTACAATATATCAAAATCAAAACTATTTATTATTATTTAATTTTATAACCATATTATGGTATTAGGAAAGATATACCTTATTGATAAAGGCTTTTAATTAGTTAATTCGTTTATTAATAACTTGTATTAATTTATTATCAATTACTTGCGCAAGTTGATACGATGATTACCTTATTTGCCATCAGTTACTTATTTTAAATGATAGTTAATTACTGCAAATTTTTGACAGTTAATTTTTAATATCTTTCTTTAATTACTTCATGTTTATATAAAAGGAAACAAATATTACAAGAACCATAAGACTTTATATATCTCAAGAAATGTCTTTACAAGAATTTTTATAAAAAATATTTCAGGAACCATAAGATTTAATGATAAAATATGATTATTAATTAATAATTATTCTTTAAATTTGATATATTCTGAATTTTTTATTATATATAATTGTAAACGAAATAATATTTTTAGGAAGTATTTTTTTAAATATACATTTAATTGACAAATTTAAAAGTTAATTTTTGTGAAAATATATGTCGATTAAGTAAATTTCTTGTTCTTTTATGATGTCATTTATTAATAACTATATACATGTGATATTGCATTAAATGTGTATGTTCTTTATTTCCTAATTAGTTAATTCGGAAATATTATGATTACCTTATTTTGCTATCAATTACTTGCACAAATTTATATGATAATAGTGATTTGAGTTGGAAAAGCCCAAAACTATTATCCATTTAGAAAACCACAAATATAATGGTGATTTGGGATTTTAAAAAGCCAAAACTATTATCTTAATTATATATATATATGGATCTTAAAAATGTAATTTACTATATATATACATTTGTTTGTTTTTTCTATTAACAGATAAATAACACAGATGAAACACCGTTTGTAGTTGATTACAAACCATTTTTCAGTTTGTTTCAATAGCGATATGCGAATTCAATATTATTTTCGTCTCGATAAAATTTAGAAATCTATTAAATTATTTTATATTGTACAATTGCTAAAAAAATTGACAATTTTTTGCAGGTTTCTATGGGATTTTTTTTATTCATAATTGTTCTTCTTATTTTCTATTACTTATGAATTATATTTAAACTTTTATCACATTTTCTATGGGATTGTGATATCTATGAGATTTTTTTCACATTTTTTAATATGTCACTGTCTCCTGTATATTTTTCTTACATTTTCTTAATAGTTAACTTTATTAAAAACATACTAATAATGTTAATTTTTTTTTACTTTAGTTAACTTTCATTTGTTTTATTCTTATATACTTTTTGTGACTTTTTTAGTTTTTGTTTCAGTTTAATATTGAATTTAGTACACATACTTTATGTGTATATATTTTAAAACATAATTTTTCTTTTAAAAAATTAAGCGACAAAGAGCCTAATTAAACCGATCCAAAAACAAACCGAACTGAATATAACTTGAACTGGACATAAACCACACCGAACCAGACTAAATAAGGTTTATTTCAGTTGAAAAAAATATATTAAAACCGAACTAAACAAACCAAACCGAAAAAGTTACGATTTGCCCACCCGTACTGCATCCTAGAGATTTACGAAAATCTTGTCTCAGCATTGAAACTCTCACTTGTTCCACTAACTCCCACATTTGAACTCAATAGATACTCCTGTCTCAGCATTATACTATACTTTTATACCCGCACAAGGTGCGGGTGGGTCACCTAGTTAGACTTAATTTTAAAGTCCATCCAACTGAACCAATTTGGATCATCTTGGATGGAGATGGTTCTGTCAAAATAGTATAATGTCTATTATACCCCTTATTTAATCTACAATCCTAAACTTAATATCATTTTGCCACTCACGAGAAAATGACAAATCCGCATTTTCCTGCTAAAATAAAAACGTATTTTACAGCCAAAATCAAAAAATATATTTTCCCATCAAAATTGCAATATATCGCCAAAATAGCAAAAACGCTTACCCACCAAAAACACATTTTACCATCAAGATCGCAAAACGCATTTTCTCGCTAAAACCCACAAAACAATATTTTCCCTCTAAAATAGCAAAACGCCTTCTTGCCAAAAACACATTTTTCCGCCAAACTTGTAAAACACATTTTCCAAAAAAACCATATTTTCTCGTCAAACCACACAAAATGAATTTTCCCGCCAAAATCGTAAAAATGCTTTTTCCCACCAAAAATGCAAAAAACTAACAAATTTTCTCGCCAAAACACATTTTCCCCCAAAACCGGCAAAACGCATTTCCCGCCAAAAACGTAAAATCTCATTTTCCTCCCCAAATCAAAATGTATTTTCTCACCAAAACCCCAAAAATGTTTTCCTGCCAAAGATGCAATATATATTTTCATGCCAAAAATGCAAAAACGTATTTTCCACCAAAACCACAAAAAACGAATTTGCCCGCTAAAAACCCGAAAACATGTTGTCCGGCCAAAAATGCAAAATATATCTTCCCGCCAAAATATAAAAATGTATTTTCTCGCCAAAAACGTTATACGCGTTTTCCTGCCAAAACCGCAAAAACATGTTTTTCCGCCAAAACCGAAAAAAATGTGTTTTTCCTCCAAATTCGCAAAAACGCATTTTCCGCTAAATTGGAAAAATGTATTTTTTCGCCAAAACCACAAAAACATGTTTTTCCACCAAAACCCTAAAACATGTTTTTCCGCCAAACCGTAAAAACATGTTTTCTGCCTAAGCCATATTTTAAAATATTTATATTTAGATAATTGATAAAATTATTATAGTGAAACACAAATACAATATGATTAAATCTAAACAAGTGTATATTAGTAATTTGTTTTCCAAACCTATCTAGATTGAGATGAAAATAAAGAAACAAACATAATTTCATTTAGATGATTCGTCAAAATGATTCATATGGATTGAAAAATAAACAATCTCAATAATATCTAGATGTATCATTTGGATGAATCATCTAAATGAATCGTCTAGATGGAGATGACAAATGATGAAACAAACATCCCCATAATCGAAGAAGCTGTAATCAAACTGTAACGAAATTCTACGACGACCCTAGTTGATGTTAGGAGTTTTCAAGGCTCCTAGTCAAATGTTGTATAGTGAAGTAAGTTGTCGAACCAGTTCTGAGGGATTTAAAAGCACCGAGAATGCAAGTACTAACTTAATCTAAGTGCAATCGAATGTTTGGTTGGTTTTGAAGTTAACTAAAACTAGAATACAAATAACAAAAATGATACTTTTAAACTATTGGAAAGGAGAACTCATGGTTGTTGGGATTTAGACCTTGGGTGATCAGGTTTCGAACTAAGATGGCAAGCTATCAATTAAACTGTCTGCCTTAAGCCTAGATACGATTCTAAACAAGCTCTATGTCTAGATGAATG